GGGAGGGGCTTGCTTGATACTTCACTTTACAGGGCAAACTATGCTGCCTGCCTTTGTACTCTTGCCCCAGGCCCCAGGAATAGGAGGAGTTTGGCCTGTTGTTAGTTGCTTGCGTACTTTTTCTTTTCAAGAGATTTGCTGAACCCTATTTCATCTTGATAATACCCTTGATTTGTGTCAGTGAATGAAGTATAGTATCTATGCCAGGAGCTTGGCAAATGCTGAAATGCTGGCTCTTCCTATGAAAAAGTACACAGTAGGGCGGTGCCTGTGGCACAGTGAGTAGGGCGCCGGCCCATATACCGAGGAGGGTGGGTTCGAACCCGGCCCGGGTCAAACTGCTACAAAATATAGCCAGCCGTTGTGGCGGGCACCTGTAATCCCAGCTCTTCCAGAGGGTGAGGCAAGAGAATCCCCTAAACCCAAGGGCTGAAGGTTGCTGTGAGCTGTGACGCCAAGGCACTATACCCAGGGCGACAAAGTGAGACTCTGTCTCTTAAAAAAAAAAAAAGAAAGAAAGAAAGAAAAAGTACACAATAAGCTGAGCCTCACTGTACTGGTAATGAGCCTATTTGTTGTAAAATACTTACATTTGCATTTAAAGTAGGGGAGAATGTTTGTCTGCAAACTGTTCCACCCCGAAAGTCATCATTTAATTCAAGTGACTGGAGTGTCCTCTTTATCTCCCCAGGGCCCTGCCCCAGCTCTCTTCCTACACCCTCAAGGCACAGCCTGATCTCCCAAGACTCACACTTCCAGCTTGCAGAGCTGAGCTGTGACTAGCACATCCTCTTTGTGACAACTTTCCTGTGAAAAATACACATCCCATGGAGCTATCCAGAATGCCAAGGATGGCTTAAAACCCTGTGATTTCATTCAGTATGTACAGGAGGGGGGCTCAGGTTCCATTTCTTCTTCTCAAGATGAAGAAAGGGGCAATGACATAGGAATCAGGGAAGGATGCGTGCTGTTTTGTGTGAGGTCGGGCAGTTTGGGGAAAAAAATTCACCCAAGTCTCTTTAATGGGTGGATTAGACCATCCACTGCTTAGGTAACTCCGTTGAAAACTCCACTCTGCACATGGGAGTTTGGGATTCTGTTGAAGCATGGAAGGATTTGAAAAGCTCCAGGCTCTTTCACAGTGAAGCATGTTTTTGCAACAAAATGATTTGAGAATGTTTCCAAAGGTAGTGTCCTGTTGGTGCTTAATAAATGCATGAGTCTGTGTCCAGTAGGGAAAGATAAAAGCCGTTGTCTGGTTAAAGGTAGTAATTGCAAAATGTCATAATGATGCCTTCTCCTCAGAGGGAGATGGAGAGAGTAAAGGAGACAGTTGAATTTAGTAGAACGATATTCCTTATCAGTTCTTTAGATGGGAGTAGGGTGAAAATGAGTTCTGATCAGAACACTGAGGACTAGTCAGTGTAGGAAGAAAGCGTCGGACAATAGCAATTAAATGGAGGAAAATGAGATTTCTTTTTGTTGTTGCTATTGATTTTAGTGGTGAATGAGGCTTGGAGAAGTGTTGGTTGTTAATTGGTTTGACTGTCTCCAGCAACTCTGCTGGCTGAATTTTGGATTCAGACCTTACCTTGGAACTCTCTGGAAAGAAGGGGAATTGGTATTTACCTTTGGCTGGCTGTATTAATTTGCCAGGACTGCTATAACAAAATACCACAGACTGGGAGGCTGAAACAATGGAAATTTCTTTTTTCACCGTTGTGGAAGCTCAGAGTTCAAGATTAAGGTGCTGGCAGGGTTGTTGTCTTCTAACGCCTTTTTCCTTCACTTGCAGACAGCTGCTGTTGGTTTAGGGTCCCACTCGAAGGGCCTTATTTTGTCTTAATTACCTCTTTAAAGGTTTTATCTCTAATATGGTTACATTCTGAAGTACTGATGGTTGGAACATCAACATATTGATTTTGGTGAGAGGACATAATTCAACCCATAACACTGATGTAAAGGTTAAAAACGTAGATTCTTAGGCAAGACTTCCTGGGTTCAAACCCTGGCCATACTGTTTCTTAGCTGTGGACATAACTTCTCTGGGCTTTGTCTGGCAATGAGCATTCAGTAAGTATTAGCTGTCATTGTTCTATTTTTGAGTATTTTCAGGCCCCCGTGAGGCATTGTTTTCCATTTTAGTTCACCAGTTCTAGGTTGCATAGTAGTTTGTCCCAATTGCCCTGGTAGTGCTTTAACAGGAGTGTTTTGCTTTGAGTTTCCCTTAGTGTTTTCTTAAACATACACTGATTTTGAAATCCCTCTTTCTGCTTCTACCAAGGAGTTGAACATCTGGCACCCCCCCCCCCACAGTTTTATTGAATTGGTTATAACAATCCCACTGTATCATGTTCCTAGGCAGGAAGTCCATTTGAGGAAGTGGTGCAAATGGTGTGGGTTTTGTGGTAGAAAGTGACAACATTGTCACTGGCAAAGGGGTGAAATGGTAAACGTGTCCATTTTCCCTCATCTTTGCTTAGTTCAATTCCATAGACTTTCAAAGCTGGGCACAGTCCTTAGTACAGGGATTCATTTCCAAGGGTTGAGTTGGAGTTGTTCACAAATAATTGTTACGAGGAAGGCAGACATAAAAGCTCCACAGAAACGAAGAGATGGTGCAGTCAGAGTGTCTTTACCCCCTTTAGGTGTCTTCTTGAGGAGGCATCATCTGGGTAGAGCCTGGAAAGATGGGGAAGGTAGGATGCTAAGACCATCCATGTGCCAGGGCTTGGGCTTGGGTAAGAGATGCCCAAACTCTCCCAACCTACCTGGGGGAATGAGGACAGTAGATGGTGTTCTTGGTGGCTGGGATAATATGAAGGCTCTCTAAGGGGTAGATATCATTGAGTTGTTGTGTTTTATCTTAAGCAGTTGTATGAGTATTATGTTCTCTATAAAAGAGATGTTAATGTAAATATGTGTTTGTTGTTTTTTTTTTTTTTCATAATATACTTCAGAAAGGGGGACTGTGAGCTTTATCTGTGGCTTATGTCCATCCTGGCTGGAATAAACCAACCCCACCAGAAGTAAGGTATCTGTTGCATCCTCAACACAGCCCTCCCTGGAGGCCTTGCAGGAGGCAAAAGAAACTACCCAGCCCCTCTTCTACACATCCTACTCAAAGTGTACACTTTGCATTTTGGAAAATATTAGCAGTTGTGCAGGCACAGGCAGAATCATCATCTAGAATAGTTCCATTATCCCTGAAAGTTCCCTGTGCCCCTTTGAAGTTAATCTCCTTTCCCAATTCTTTAAAAAACAAAATGAAACCTTTTCTTTGGAAACAGTTTCACATGTATAAAAAATTTGCAAGAGTAAGAATAATACGAACAACACAGGTGCATTGTGTTCACCTATTGTTGAATTTCTTACCCCATTTTCCATCTCTGTGTTCTCTTCAGTTTGGGGGAAGTATTTATGGGTAAGTGTATACATCATAGCCTTTACTCCTAATACTTAACGTGTTTTTTCTAAAAATATAGATAATCTCGTATAAATGTATAAGCAAAGTTCACTTATGAAATGTAAGTAAATTTAGCCTTGCTGCAATTAGGTTGGGTCCCATCTGTTACTCTTATCCCAGTTTTGTCAGTCAACCCAAAATATCATTAGCGGCATTTCCTCTCCCTCCAGTATAGAGGCCAGAGTAGGCTCAGGGTCCCCATTTGGTTCTCGTGTTCTTTTAGTTTCCTTAATCTGGAATCTTTCCACTGGCTTTTATTGCCTTTGTGACATTGAATTTTTGAAGACTGTAGTCCCCTTTCCCCTTTATGAACAGAATGTTCCTCATTTGGGATTTATCTGATTTCCTTATGGCTTGGGGTTCCAACTATGCTTTCTTGACTAGGGCGCTAGGTAGGTACCACTGTGTCCTTCTCAGGGGGTGGCATCTGGAGGTACACCATGTCCATTTGCCCTGTGCCAGTGATGTTAAATTTGATCGCCTAGTCAAGACGTTGTCTGTTTCATAATTGTGTGGAGAGATACTTCTTAAGCCCATTCAAATACCCTGCTTATCAAAATGTCCCTCTGGATTTAGTAAGCAGCTGAAGATTCCTGCCCTACCCAGTCTAGAACATGGTGGCTGCAACTCTAGCACACTCTCCATACTTGCCAGTTGCACTTGACATTCTGCTGCAAGGTTACATTTGCCCCTGTTTGTTTATTATCTATACAGACTCATGAATTCTTTGTTTCTTCCTCCAATGCTTTTTACTTCATTACTCCTCAAACTGTATCAGATATGTGCAATGAGATCTCT